GCCGCCGCCGCCGCTGCCCATCGTGCCCGCGGAGGAGCTTGTGGCCGGGGAGCCCTGCGAGAAGCTGAACCCGAGCAGCAGCGCCGTCCTGGGAGAGCCGCCCACCGACCCCGACGCACCGCAGGTATGTAAGCCGCACGTGTTGCTGGTCTCCTTTAGAAAGGAAACATTGTCCTTATTCCTTTGGGTTTCCGGGGATAGTCAGGGTGGGGAGTGCTGGTCCGTGTCTCCATCAGGGGATGAAAAAGCGGGGTCGCTCATTTCTCCAAGAGTACACATTTAATGCGGCAGTTCTTGTTTTTTCGCTGGTAACAGTTTCAGGTTCAACTGAAAGTTGTTGTCTAGAACTCTTTTGTTGAGTTAAATTTTATTAGTAATAACGGTGAAGGCGAATCCTCGCTCTATAGAGGGAGATGTGCTCTATCCTTATGACAGGTTTGAAAGAACAGGAGTGGCACTCAGGGTTGAGGTTTTTTCCTTCCTAAGTGATTTGTTCCGATATAATGTGCTTGGATCTAGTGGATGGCGGACTAAAAACTCTCGTTAATTCTTTTTTTTCACTATTATAATCTCAAAGACAACTTGCTCTGGGTTACATGCATGGAGAGTGACAGGTTCTCTATCGCTTCTGGGAGAATTCCCACCTGTTCTGGTGGGAATGCTGCTACAGAAATGGGAGGAATAGTAACAGTAGTGGGATGGATTACCTGTTGTTAACAATGTTTTTCTATCCTGGCTGGTAGTTTCATCTTTTTTAACATTCCTGATCTTCGTTTCATACACAAATGAAGGTATAGAATGGGATCAAGTAGGGGAAAAAATAGACATTTTTCTTTTTCTTTCTCTCCTATTCGCAGAAAGGATACCTTGAGTCTTGTTTATATTCTCATTTTTTTCAATGGTTGTTGCATCTGTGTTTGCAAGGCTACACCGGTAAGATCTGAAAAACATATCAAATGCCAAGGACATTCGCCAAATGAGAGTTTAGGCATTTGAATCAAGTCCATTTGAACATTTATCCGTGGTCCCACAGTTTAGGGTGTAGAGCTCTACTTCTCCTACTGTCCTACACTATTTCGTTGAAAATACGTCAAACCAACTTGAGTAAGAAAGATTTAGAGTAGCCTACCAACAAGACTCAATCCCTTCCACCTCGGTTTTTTGAGAAAATTGAAGCCTTTTCTTGTGGCTAAAGAATGATTTCATTAAATGAACACGTGTATTAATTTAGATGGTTCTGTCCAGGTTCACTGCAGGTACTTCCCGGGCTAGTTGTAGAGCAGTCAGAGAAGAGTGCTCCAGTGACCTCCACTGTGGAACCGGAGGGTGCGAGATAATGATCTTTGAGTAGCCGGGGATTTTCCGTCTGTGCTCTGTTCACATGAAGGGACTCACATGAATCCCAGAGCACCTGGCAGGTGGCTGAGAAACCAAACTCCACGGGGTTATGTTAGATCCCTGCCTTCTTCCGCCTTTAAATGCCTGGTTTAGTCAGTCGGGGTGCAGTAGTTCATTTAGACCATCTTCTGTATAAAGTGAAAAATTTAAAGCAAAGTTCCGGCTACTTAGTTTAACGAGCTTGATATCTCCGATTTTACGGTAGACAGAGCTGAGTGTTTGATTATCACGTTTTGTATCTCCGAGTCTTTTCGTTCTATCTCATACAAGTCATTCAAGCTGGACGGTTTCAACTCGTGTTGAAGATGGTGCTTTTGGATTAATAGGGTAGAACTAAGAGTATTCTACACATTAAAATAAGACAAAATATTTTACTTTAAATATATTGCCTGTAGCAAATTGTTTTTTTCACGTGAGATAGAAACCCCACGGTCGCGAAACGCGACAGCTTTTCCCCCGGTCGTGATGAGTTCGAGAATAAAACAAGATTTTGGATAGATAAAAGCAGGAGGCTCACGCTGGACAGGATATGATGTGTCTGCGGTGAATATCCCGTCCCCGCAGTCTGCCCGTGGGCAAAGCAGAGCAGACGGAGCTCGTTCGCGCTCGGTGCGTGCAGTGCCGGGAGGAGGCTGCGGGCGCCGCTGTTGACCGAGAGGAGCGAGAGGAAGGTCGGAGCGCTGCAGCCCCGCCCGCTGCGGCCCGGCTCGATCGCTGGATCGCTGGATTCCTGGCTCGGCGGCCGGCCGGTCTGTGATCGTCCCCGCGGTGCGGAACCGTGCTAAACCGAGACAGAGGAGCCGCAAGAGGCGACGCGGATCCGGAGAGGGAGTCGGATCGGCGGTGGTCGGCGGGGATCTGGCGGCGGTGTTGCGGTGCCGGCGGTGCGG